AAAAAGAGACTGCTCCAGACATCCCAGTTAAGACATGAAATCTGCATTTCTCAGCATTCAAAGGACGACCAACTATCCTGATCTTGTCTGGCAAATGTGGATGTGCAGTCTTGTTCTGAGACTTGGAACACCCAATAAATAACCACCCACACTGTTACTTCCCTTCTCACTTGACAGTCACAAAATAGGAGTGGAATGAGGAAAAATGATGGGGAATGGACAGTGACTCCCAGGTGGAGAGGTGGAAAGACCAGAGAGGAACAGGACCAAAGGTAACAAATCAGTAGCGGTGTTAGGACAGGAATATCATGTTCTAGGCAAGAACATAAGGGAGCCAGTAACTTTTGTTGATAAAAACCTCAGGGACAGGGTCAAACTCCTTATAACTCATCTCAAACAGGGTGAGGAGGATATATCCTGGGGAAGGAGAAACTGCATCCAAGAAAACTACTCTTTCAGCAGCTCACATATGAGATCTGCCTGTGCTCAAATCTTATCTGCATGACATTGGTCTGAGGGAATATCCTGCTCACCAGCTTTTCTCACTTACATATGGAGCAGAGACAGAGTTTCTAACTACTAATATTAAGCTTTCAGGCTACCCTTTCTGTCTTGCATTTTAGGTTTGTTTTCACACTATTAGCCAAACAAAGTACTTAAGTGATGCACTAAGTACTCTTCTGGAAGGCTGCCTTTCTATTATCGTTGCTTTTATGAGGCTATAAATAGCATTCTTAGAATTAAACAAGCAATAACACTCGCAGCTTTGCAGCCACCCTCTTTCTTAAAAAAAAAGTTTTTCACATCGCCCAAATTTTTAGCCAAAATGAGAAAGATTACAGTGTAAACTGTTCCCAACAGTCAGTCTCTCCCAAACAATTCCCCCTCGAGTGAATAATAAGTACTTGCAAATACTCATCAGGTACACCTGCATTCAGGAACCATCAAAACCCACTAATCAAGAACAATAGTAGATCATTAATTTGCAGAATAAAAGCCTTTCTCAACAGGAGCTGAAGGCTTGAAAATGCTTACTTGTTTTAACACAATTTCTAGGTCTACAGGACACAAGAACACCCAAAACCAATTCTATGTGCACTCTTTTCGAAGCACACTGTTGAAAATAAAATTAGGTATGTAAAATAAATTAAGCTTCTTTAGAAGTTACTTCTAGAAAAGCTGTAGGGTTTAAGCAAGGCTAGAATATCTTTGTTCCCTTTGCAATTTTAAGATTTAAAGTCCACAAAATACCTTGGAGCTCCTGTCCCAAGTACTCTTCACTAAGTAATGGAGAATACATCACTTTAAAAGATGGGTATTTTATGCTATGTCCAAAAGCCGTCAATTATTTCATTTTACACACTTCAACAAGAACTTTCATACTACTGAGAACACAAAAACTATAGCTTTTCAGCCTGTACCAGAAGTCCAAAGTTATACTCCGAAATGAATGCAAAAAGCTAGCTTTTTTACTGCCTTAAGAACATCATGCCTCATTTCATTCTGGTTTTCAATATTGTGTGTGTGCTCTAGGAAGCCCACTAGCAGGAAGATACTTTGATACCACAAAAACCTGTAAGCAGTTCAACTACAATAATATTGCTGGGTTGGATTTTTTTTTTAAAGCTTCACTGTCCATCAAGTACACCTCACATTCTCCAAATGTCATTTTAAGTTTTTTCTTTTTCCACAAAATTCGTACTTAGTCCTCTGACACTAGCAACTTTAAGAAACAAAAAATGCTCTTCCAGACCTTCATAGAAAAATTATTTCTGAGGTACAGCAATATTAGAGAAGATAGAAAAAGTGCCCCTGCAAACTGAAGACAAAGGCATCGTCAAATTTCCCTAGGCTAAACACCTTCATCTATCAGTTAAGCAAGCATCCCACAGGAAACTCTTGTACTACCCCTGTCCTCAGGCAGATTTTCCCCTGAAGCCCCTTGTTGTGCTGTCCGATTTCATACTGGGAGGGAACTACATCCAACACTGAATTTACTGGAAAATTCCAGCAAAATCCCCCGCGTTGACCCCCAGAGCAGAAGGGGGAAAGACAGCAGATCGCCATTTTCCAGCCTCAAACGAAAAATCAAGTTTCAAACCATCACAGCAAGAAACTATCCCAATGAAACTTAAGACACTTTCAGTACATTTTGAAGAAGCCGCTGTCTCTTTT